AAAAAAAAAATTGTAATGTTGGAGGTGCCCTTCAGGTCTCTCACAGCCATAAACACTCTTGGGGGAGTAGAGGAAGCAGAGGAGAAGCTGGCTTCACTGCTTTGTGGTTCACAAAGTCTTTATAAACAGTAGTGCCTTTCAGAGGGGAAGATGGGAGATAAAGAAGTTCATTGTATTTAGACTGACTGATATTACAGCATTTTTCCTTTATTTTAAAATATCCTTTAAATGAAACCATCTGAACATAGGGTGAGCCCAGGAATTCTTGAGTTTCAACCTCAGCTATTCCTGATTCGTCCTTTCTTACAGAAAGTCTTTGTTTTTTTCTGCCCCAAATGTGCCCATTGTTAAAATGGGAGTTGGGGGGAAGGAGAGAGGAATTAATCTCATAGGAATGTTGGGAAAATACCTTAGTTGGGATGTCTAGAAAATACTTTAAATTTTTTTTAAGTGCTATACACTGCCAGTGCTAAGGATTTTGTCAATAGTAACTTGGAACATTCCAGGATTTCAATATTCACATCTTTAGATACCATTGGCAAACTCATGAGATTAAATTCTGTAAATTGATTTTCATTGGAAGTACTAGGTGCTCTTTGTCTGAATGTTATTTGGTCTTAGGCTGTAATTTTGATCACTTAAAAGCTTGTCTACAGAAAAAGGTTAGGAGGGGTGATGAGGTCTTTGTCAGTAAACTGTTTTCTACGGTATGTCTTACGGCAGAAGCAAAGAGCGAGATGCCCTCCAAAGCAACCATGGCTCTCTTCTCAAGTGCTGGCCTCTGGAAAAACTAACAGAGAAGAACCCAAACAGCCACTTTCCTTATGGGAGGGCAGACGTGAGAATAAAATATTTTCTGATATCACAACTCATGTCTTCAGAGTCTCACAAGCATCAATTATAAGAGGCAAATGGAATGCACAGGTGTAGAAATGAATTGGACTATTGGGTTTTGGAGGGAAAACTTTAGATCTTTATTTTTTTTTGATAATTAAGTGTTTCAGGAGCAGCATATTTGCTTCCCCATATTCTCCATGATTTAGTGCCCGTGAGTCAGTCATTCTTTTTTCTTGCCTATGTGGAAGAGCATGGAAATTTAGATTTGTGAGAATATCAGGGAGCAAATATGTTATAAACTGGATGGTGGTTATTTCCGAGTATTCACCAAAACTTTGTCCCATGAATTTGATAGAGGAGGAATTTGATAGAGGAGGAATTTGATAGTAGGGCAAAAGTGGAACTCACCACTTCCTTTGGGGAATGCAGGCCTTATTTCTTTCTCTCCTGGGTGGCATGTCTGTGGAGTCTGGGTTAGGCAAACATAGTATGTGAGCTTTTACTGGATTTATTTACATTACAGTTTTTCTTAACTATTTAAAATCTAGGGATCATTTGGAAATGAATGATTAAACCCAGGGCAGGGTTAGGAAAGATAAGGTTTACACATACTCCACTAAGAAAAGAGGAGCTACCATGTTAATATCTGTTTTCTAAAAACTATAAGACTTTTAGTTGTCTCATTAATTCTAGAGGGTCAAAAGGGCTGAAATTTGTCCATAGCATTAGATATTTTTCACAGAGAATATTATTCAAGTGAGAAATCTATACCAAATCAGTTGAACACAGAAAGAATTTCCATGAAAGGCATTTCTTCCTCGTTTTCAATATATGTAGAAGTTATAGAGGAAAGGGAAAAGCAATTATTCTAAGACAAATTTTCATCTTTAAGGGACATTTCTGGAAAGCCTGAAATGAATACTCATAGGCTATTGTGTTTCCTGTCATCCTGTTTGCTGGGAGATTCTAAAATGTGGTCAGATTCAAATGATCGAGATTAATTGTTTATTCAGACAACTGTTATTTTGGATGGTGAGGATAGCTGAGAAAAGGGAAGGTGGTAGAAAAGAGTGCAAAGAACAGTTCTCAGAGCACCAATCCTGAGGCTTAACTTAAGCAAGCAAATTTGCTAGCCCAGGAATACGTAGTATAAGAGTTCCATCAGTGCCTGACTTCTATCAGAAAATGAATCCACATCCTGGAGTATTTATGGGGACTGTTGCTGGGATCTCAAAGACTGTGGTTATGAATTTGACGTTAATAGAACATACATCTTCTCTTACTAACTTAAGCCATATCTGTCATCTCTGTGTTTGATTTTTTGACCCTGGTGCTTTTACTTCTGTTTCTGCCAAACTTCAGCCTACTCTATGGGGAAGGTGAGTAAAATGAGTAGTTAGGACAAATATGAATACTGTGAAAAAGCTAAACATATTCTTCAGAATGAGATCCTAGTCAGAGAACAGCAGTGATCAAAGTGCAAACTGTTGGAAAATATGGATATATGTACGTCTGTACATGTATATAGTGTATAATATGTATGTATATGTTATTGCTCATATGCAGAAATCTATCCATTTGAAGACAGCCCAGAGGGTCAATTTTTCTATTAGAAAACCATTTAAGGCCATTCAAAACCATTAGGGCTGATGGGCAGAGTTAGAGTCTACTCATTTGGGAATTATTTGCTATCTATTGACATCTGCAAAGCTAAATGAACAAAGCTTGAAACATAATGGGACCATCATTAAGGTTACTCTGTCTATCTGGAGTCAGGAGAATCTTTATGTTTGAACTATTAACGGTTGGTTTGAAAACTTCATTGGCACCTCTTGGTTTTGAGTGACTCCTCCCCACCAAGTATTTTGAGAGTTAGGGATGGGTTTCTCTGGCCATTCAGATAAAGGGCCTTATCCAAAAGTGGACAGGTTTCCCCATAGGGACCATTACACATATACATATAAGTACATACTTCCATCAGGCTTATAACAATTGATTTAAAATCACTCCACAGTATTGATAAATAGCTCTATATTTTAAAGGTGCAGAAGAATTCCACAGCCTTAATTATTTCAGTGTCTTGCTGGTCTGCCTTAAGTGTATCTTCTGGGTTTTTGGTTGTCTCATTCTTTTTAAATTTTTCTGCAGTTGTTCATTTTGTATGCACACAATGTCGTTTTGTAAAGGTAGGTTGTAAATATTTTATTTGTAAGTCAAAATCACTCGTGTAATGTTGTAAAGTGATGACCTGCTGTCTTGTTATTATTACTACAGTAAATGTTGTAAGTTATGGATGAAACTTCAAAATGTACATCTCACAAGTTATGCATTCCTATAAATATACTATACTAAAGATATTCTTGCTGGTGATCTTTTGTTTTCTCATTAAAACTTCTGTTATAAAGAAAAGAGTATTTTTTTTTGCTCTTTCTCCAAATATATGAAAGCCTTTGACAAGGTGAAAATACTGCATTATTATTACAACACATTTTGCTCAGCATTTTGGAAAGAAAGCAAAAATTTAGAGCCTGGAGAAGTATTCTAGGCCATTTCTCTATGCAAAGATGCCAAATAAGCCTCAATGTGAGTTGTTAACTTCATTCTGGTGCTTTATTTGGCAGTTCTGTTAGAAAATTGGCAGGTCATTTGGGATGGATCCAGCATGTTTATGCATCATAGTGTAGACTCCAGGAATCTTGATTAGCCTATTCAAACATGATCAGGCTCTGAAAGAGTGTGTGTGCCACTCAAGGGCAAATGAAACGGATTCATAGAACACTGTCAATTAGCTACTGTGTGAAAACTATTAAATGAAAACTTCATTTAAATTGGAGTGAGAAAGCCTTGAAGCAGGAGCTCGAGGGTACACACCAGCACATACCACCCTATGTTGTTTATTTTACATTCCTGGGAAGGATAGAGGCTTATTTTACTACCCCAACATGAGGAGGGAAGATTTTCTCCTTGCCCACCAATGCTTCCAATGAAAAGTGACCAAGACTCAGCCAATAAGAAACTGTTACCTCGAACTTTTCATTTACTCCAATAGACTTTCCTTCTAAGCCGTCCCTCCAAACTTCCCCTGTTTCTCTATCAAGTAACATTCCTCTCCTTTGTTTTCCAGGCTTGTCTATGTTTACCCTAGTTTGCATGTCCCAAATGCAATTCCTCTGCCATTCCCAAATAAAATTCATTTTGCTGGTAAAATAACTGGCCATTTTATTTTTTAAAGTTGACAAGTGTTAGGGATTGAACTATTCTGATTAGCTTATTTTGCAAATAAGAACAAAAATGTTTTAATATTTGGCTTTTCTACATCAAGATTTTATGCATTTATTTGAAATGAGAACTGTCAAAAGCATGGGTTCCTTCACACTGGCTGGTCATCATAGTGTCTTCAGAGAAAATACAGACATACATAAAGAACACAGAAACAATAGAAATGAAATCAGAATCAATTATTACCCTTAAAATATTGCCTTCTACACATAATGGGAACTTCCACTACTTTAAGGGATTTATTTGTAAATACCAAATACGCTTAGATTTTCAGATTGACTGGCAAGATTATCCTCCTAGATAACCTTGATACTAATCAATTTATCTTCCTCTTCTCTCTTCCCTCTCTTCCTCATCTGCTGTATACTTATTTTGAGCCAAGCACTTGAGCTACTCTAATGGGAATAAATACGTTCTCCTCTAGAGGCACAGGGCAGACAGAAGTAAGAAACAACTACCTGCTAAGTGCTTTATAGTCCCATGTGCAAACTGCTATGACACTTACGTTTGCCAAATAAAAGAATTGAGCAAAGGCCCCCGTCTTCCAGAACTTACACTCTATTTGGAAAAAGGGGAGGGCAGGGGGAGTCGTGTCTAATAAGAGGCAAATAACATGCTGGCCCAAGAAGAGCATCAAAAGAACACCGAACTATAAAAAGTGCAGGATTTATAACGACTCCCTTGAGAATCTTGATTTTATGATCCTGGAGCCAATCTAATTATACGGGGCTTCAAAATCCAGCGATCTCCCCTAAAGGCAGCACCGAGGTGAGGTTCGCTACCGCCACCCGGGACCCAACCTGAACCCCTCCACCCTCGCTGCCTGGGACCCGGAGCGGCGCGAATTGCGCCGGCGCAGCAATCAGAAAAGGGGGCGGAAGAGGAGGGACTTTGATGTGACGTCATCGGACGGCGCAGGCCAGCCGCACTTTGGAGTTTGGAGAGAACCGTGAGCGCGGAGCATGGCGGCCCCTGAAGCAGCTTTAACGTCGTTGGTAACGGGCCTTTACGACGTGCAGGCTTTCAAGTTTGGGAACTTTGTGCTGAAGAGCGGGCTCTCTTCCCCGGTCTACATCGACTTGCGGGGAATTGTGTCTCGACCGCGTCTTCTGAGTCAGGTGCCAGCCCAGGAAAGGGAAGAAGAGGTTGGGTGGCGGGAATGGGGAGCGGGAGTTGAAGGTGCCAGGAGTTGGGCTGTGGGTGAGAGCAAAAGAGCAAAGGAGGCGGGTGGGCCTGGGGTAATCGGTTTGCGAAGCCCGGAGACCAAGAACTGTTAGGCTCTTGAGGACCTAGAGGGCAGCCTGCCCTTTGACTCGCCTCCTTTGACACGTGCCTTGCAAGAGTTGAGAAGCCGGGTTCGGGGCTTTGGCTTGCACAGAAGTGGTTGAAGGAGTTCCGTATATTTAACCTCGAGAAAATTAGACCTGGGGAAGAAAGAGAAAGGTGGGTGGGGTGAGATTTAGAAGCTGCTCAAATACGCGAAAGGGCTGTTGCTTGGAAACGGGGATTTGATTTTGTGCTGTGTGGCCGGGAGCAAAAATTAAGGCCAGAAGGTGAGTATTTCATGGAGACTTTTTCCGATAAATAAAAGAAAAAAAACCCTACAAATTGGAGGTTTTTTAGCATAGTCCTTCTCAGACGTTATGAAGGCCAGATGGTGGGCATTTCTTGGAGACTTTTTGGTGAATAAAAGAAAACTGTACAAATCAGAGGTTTCTAGCATAGTGCTTCTCAGACTGTGAGTATGTATGAGTTACCTGGAGTTTTGTTAAAATGCGTAATCTGAGTAGATGTGAGGCAGGGCCTTTCTAACAAGCTGCCAGCTAAAACTGCAGAGACCACACTGTAAGTAGGAGGGTCTAAATGTGCTGTTTTATAATGGAGTTGCTACTAGCCTCGTGTGAATGTTGAGCATTATGAATTTTTAAATTTAAATAGTCATATGTGACTATGGCTACCTTTTTGGACAGTGCAGATATAGAGCATTTCCATTATCACAGAAGTTCTATCTAGAAGATATATGTAAATTTTCTCCACCACTAAAGGTTTTTGTTTCGTTCACCTTTTGCGGACCCCACTGTGTGAGGTTATTAAGAAAAGGACTGAAGCAGTAGTTGAAGTGAATTAGGCTATTCTCACCATCCAAAATCTTGCTTTGGTGCATCTCATCAGTGCTGAGAAAGTGAATGACTAGGGAATCTTCCATTGAAAATTGGTTTATTTTTTGAAGAAGTGATGAGTTGACAGATGACTGAAAATTATTTTTTATTTTTTTTTAAATTTTAAAAATTTAGGGCAGTAATTAGGTTTATTTATTTATTTAATGGAGGTACTGGGGGTTGAACCTAGGACCTCGGGCATACTAAGCGTGCACTTTACCGCTAAGCTATACCTTACCCTCTAAAAATTATTTTATGATTCTAGATCTTAGGGGGTGTGTGTGTGTGTGTGTGTGTGTGTGTGTGATTTTTGGTAGTTAATTTGGAAGGAGTTAAAAACACCGAGAGACCTGGCTATAACAGAACTCCTTCCATATCTTCTTACTTCAGCAAATAGGGTTTCTTAATACTTGCACCCCCAAAAAAGCAACAGAATTTATACCAAACTCTAAACCTCCTAGCAGTAATAGTCAACTGCAGTAGATACATAAATTAATTGCTAGGGTGAGGTACCATTCATCTCACTAAGAAATACATTTCCAAAAGAATCTGATTTTTGATTCTGTCAAAATTTGTAGATTATGTTTTAATTAATTTTATACTCATAACAATTATAATGGTAACAGAATTTTTAACACTTAAAGACTTAGATAATGGAAAACTTTTTAATTTACAATTTTAAAGTTCAGTTTACATGCCTTTTTGTTGTGGAGAAGTATCAGAATGATCCGTAAAAGTTTTTCCAGCATTAAATATATATTATATTAGGATAAAATTCTGTGGAAACAATGGGATGAAAATATGAGTTCCAAAAAATGTAAATTTTTACAACTTTGATAGTACAACATTTTTGTGTTTGTTTTTTTTTATTTTAATGGAGACATTGGGTATCAATCAAATCAGTATAGCATTTGGATTCCATTGTATTTTTTTTTTAACATTTTTTATTGATTTATAATCATTTTACAATGTGTCAAATTCCAGTGTTCAGCACAATTTTTCAGTCTGGATTCCATTGTATTCACTTAAAAGAGTCAAGTAGCAGTTTTAGGATAATATGTTAATTTTTTCACTAGTCTAGAAATTACATCTTTTGTAGCTTAAAAATACTCATAAGTTTTTCAACTCTTTAGAAGTACAGGAGCAAAATATTTTAAAGACCTCTGATTTAGTTCGCTAAGCAACTCTTTGCTTTTCTTTCATTTTGAAATAAGATGGTGTTGGGTGGGAGTATCCATTATAGAATTAAAATGTGATGGTTTATGTGGAAAGGATATTATAAACCAGTACTTCCTACAATAGGCTCTGCATGAGAACTTAATGAAAAACACTTTGGTGTATATTCTTCCTTTTTAAAAACTGACATACAGCATTATATTAGTTTCAGGTGTACAACAAAATGACTCAATATTTGTATATACTGTGTAATGATCAGCATAGTAGATCTAGTTAACATACCTCTGTTCATAGTACAAATTTTTACTTGTGATGAGAACTTTCAAGATCTCTCTGCAACTTTCAAATACACAAAACAGTATTATTAACTATAGTCACCTTGCTGTGTATTCCATACCCATGACTTTTTAATTTTATCACTGGAAGTTTGTACCTTTTGACTGTCTTCACTCATTTTGTCTACCCGTATTTGTTCTCTTTCTCTGTGTGCTTCTTTTTGTTTGTATGTTAGTTTGTTTTTATGAGATTCCACATATAAGTGAGATTATGCAGTATTTGTCTCCATCTGACTTATTTCAGTTAGTGTAATGCTCTCAAAGTCCATCTGCGTTGCGCAAAAGGCAAGGTTTCATTCTTTATCATGGCTGAATAATACTCCGTGTGTGTGTGTGTGTGTGTGTGTGTGTGTGTGTGTGTGTGTGTGTTTACTGAATTTTTTTTAATCCATTTGTTCTTCAGTGGACACAGGTTGTTTCCATATCTTAGCTATTGTAAATAATGCTGCAGTGAACATGGGAGTGCAGATATCCTTTCAAGATAGTTTTTGTTTTCTTTGGATAAATATCCAGAAGTGAAATTGCTGTATCATGTGGGAGTTCTGTTTTTAATTGAGTAACCGCCATACTATTAAGATTCCCACCTAGGGGAAGGTATAGCTCAAGTGGTAGAGTGCATGCTTAGCATGCACAAGGTCCTGAGTTCAATCCCCAGTACCTCTTCCAAAAAATAAATAACTAAACCTAATTACCTTCCCTCCAAAAAAAAAAGATTCCTACCACCCACTGTACAAGGATTCCCTTTTCTTCACATCCTCACCAACACTTCTTATTTCTTATTCTTTTGATAATAGTCATTCCAACACGTGTGAGATGATACCTCATTGTGGTTTTGATTTTCATTTCCCTGAAGACCTAGTGATACTGAGCATCTTTTCATATACTTTTCAGTCATTTGTACAAATTCTGAGGAAAAACATCTATTCAGATCCTCTACCCATTTTTCAATCAGATTGCTTTTTGTTATTGAGCTGTATGAATTCTTTATATATTTTTGGATACTAACCCCTTATCAGATGTATGATTTGCAAGTATCTTCTGCAGTTCAGAAGATTGCCTTTTTTGTTGATGGTTTCCTTTGCTGTGTGGGAACTTCTAAGTTTCATGTAGTCTCATTTGTTTAGTTTTGCTTTTGTGTTGCCATTGCCTTTGAAGTCAGATCCAAAGAAATATCACCAAGAGTGATGTCAGGGAGCTTACTACCTATGTTTTATTCTAGGAGTTTTATTTCATTTTTGTGTGTATGTGGTGTAAGATAGTGGTCCAGTTTTACCAACACTATAGAAGAGACTGTCCTTTCCCATTATCTATTCTTGGCTCCTTTGTCATAAACTAATTGAACATATGTACTTGGGCTTATTTTTAGACTCTATTCTGTTCCAGTGATCTGTTTGTCTATTTTTTTAATGTCAGAACCATACTGTTTTGATTATTGTGGCTTTGTAATATACTTTGAAATCAATGTGATGCCTCTAGCTTTATTCTTAAAAATTTTTTTTTTTAGTTTTTATTTTTAATTTTTGGGGGTGGAGAGTTAATTAGGCTTATTGATTTATTTATTTTAATGGAGGGAGTTGGGATTGAACCCAAGGCCTTGTGGATGCTAAGCGTGCGTTCTACCACTGAGCTATACCCTCTCCACCTCCAGCTTTACTGTTTCTCAAAATTGCTTTGACTATTTGGGATCTTTTGTGGTTCTATACAAATTTTAAGATTGTTTGTTGTATTTCTGTGAAAAATGCCATTGGAATTTTGATAGGGATTGCATTGAATCTGCAGATTGCTTTAGGTAATATGATCATTTTAATAGTATTCTTTAGAAACCTGAGTATGGAATATCTTTTCATTTATTTGTGATCATCTTCAGTTTTTTTCATTGTGTCCTATAGTTTTTAGTGTACATGTGTTTCATCTTCTTGGTTAAATTTATTCTTAGGTATTTTGTTCTTTTTGTTGCAGTTCTATTTGGCATTGTTTTCTTAATTTCTCTTTCTGATAGTTTGTTGTTAGTATATAACAATGCAATTTTGGGGGTATATTTTTGTATATTGATTTTGTATTTTGCAATTTTACTGAAGTTGTTTGTTACTTCTATCAATTTTTAGTGGAGTCTTTATGGTTTTCTAAATATAAAATCATGTCATCCACTTGTTACTTCTTCCTTTCTAATTTGCATGCCTTTTATTTCTTTTTCCTGCCTAATTGCTTTGACTAGGGCTTCCAATACTGTGTTGAGTAAAAACGACAAGAGTAGGCATCTTTATCTTGTTTCTGATCTCAAGAGAAAAGTTGTCAGCTTTCACCACTCGATATGATGGTTAGCTGTGGGCCTGTCATATATGACCTTTATTATGTTGAGATACGCTCCTTCTCTACCCACTCTGTTGAGAGTCTTTATCATAAATGGACGTTGTGTTTAAATCTTTTTCTCCATCTGTTGAGATGATC